GGTGCCAAGGGAATCCCGGCAAATTTTGACCGGCAAAGTTGTTCCTACCCGTTCCCGTTTTGTGTGGTATTTGCATCACTTTTCAAGGGTGCCAAGGGGATCCCGGCAAATTTTGACCGGCAAAGTTGTTCCTACCCTTTCCCGTTTTGTGTGGTATTTGCATCACTTTTCCCGGGTGCCAAGGGGGTCCCGGCAAATTTTGACCCGCAAAGTTGTTCCTACCCGTTCCCGTTTTGTGTGGGATTGCATCACTTTTCCCGGGTGCCAAGGGGGTCCCGGCAAATTTTGACCCGCAAAGTTGTTCCTACCCGTTCCCGTTTTGTGTGGCATTTGCATCACTTTTCCGGGGTGCCAAGGGAATCCCGGCAAATTTTGACCGGCAAATGTTGTTCCTACCCTTTCCCGTTTTGTGTGGTATTTGCAGGACTTTTCCAGGGTGCCAAGGGGATCCCGGCAAATTTTGACCGGCAAAGTTGTTCCTACCCTTTCCCGTTTTGTGTGGTATTTGCAGGACTTTTCCAGGGTGCCAAGGGGATCCCGGCAAATTTTGACCGACTAAGTTGTTCCTACCCTTTCCCGTTTTGTGTGGTATTTGCATCACTTTTCCAGGGTGCCAAGGGGATCCCGGCAAGTTTTGACCGGCAAAGTTGCTCCTGCCCCAGGCCCTCCTGGGCCCCAAGAAGCAATGAAACATAAGAAACAGATGAAGGATGAAGCAGATGAAGCAGATCATGAAGATGATGAAGATGATGGAGATGATGAAGATGATGAAGATGATGAAGATGATGAAGATGATGAAAATGATGAAGATGATGATGATGATGAAGATGATGAAGATGATGATGAAGCTGATTGGGATCATTGATGTCAAGGATGCACATGAAACATATTGGAACAACCGTGGAGATGAGAGAGATGATGGGGATGATGAAAAAAGATGATGAAGATGATGAAGATGATGATGATAGATGATGAAGATGATGACGATAATGAAGATGATGATGATGATGATGATGCGGATTAGGATGAGGATGATGATGATGAAGCTGATTGAGGGGGCCCTCCCGCAGGAGGAATTAAATAATTTAAATATGAAGGCCCCGATTTAAATATGAATACTTAATTCGGGGCCTTCATATTTAAATTATTTAATTCCTCCTGCGGGAGGAAGCCCGGCCCCCCCCCCCTCCAGGATTTAAATTATTTAAATTATTTAAATTATTTAATTCCCGGGCCCGATTTAAATAATTTAAATATGAAGCTCCCGAATTAAATATTCATATTTAAATCGTGGCCTTCATATTTAAATTATTTAAATCGGGCCCGGGAATTAAATAATTTAAATAATTTAAATAATGTAAATCCTGGAGGGGGGGGGGCGGGCCTCCTCCCCCAGGAGGAATTAAATAATTTAAATATGAAGGCCTCGATTTAAATATGAATATTTAATTCGGGGCCTTCATATTTAAATTATTTAATTCCTCCTGCAAAAGGAGGCCCGGCCCCCCCCCCTCCCGGATTTAAATTATTTAAATTATTTAAACTATTTAAATTATTTAAATTATTTAAATTATTTAAACTATTTAATTCCCGGGCCCGAATTAAATGATTTAAATATGAAGCTCCCGAATTAAATATTCATATTTAAACCGTGGCCTTCATATTTAAATTATTTAAATCGGGCCCGGGAATTAAATAATTTAAATGATTTAAATCCTGGAGGGGGGGGGGGCCTCCTCCCCCAGGAGGAATTAAATAATTTAAATATGAAGGCCTCGATTTAAATATGAATATTTAATTCGGGGCCTTCATATTTAAATTATTTAATTCCTCCTGCGGGAGGAAGCCCGGCCCCCCCCCCCTCCAGGATTTAAATTATTTAAATTATTTAAATTATTTAATTCCCGGGCCCGAATTAAATAATTTAAATATGAAGCTCCCGAATTAAATATTCATATTTAAATCGTGGCCTTCATATTTAAATTATTTAAATCGGGCCCGGGAATTAAATAATTTAAATAATTTAAATAATTTAAATCCTGGAGGGGGGGGGGGCCTCCTCCCCCAGGAGGAATTAAATAATTTAAATATGAAGGCCTCGATTTAAATATGAATATTTAATTCGGGGCCTTCATATTTAAATTATTTAATTCCTCCTGCAAAAGGAGGCCCGGCCCCCCCCCCCTCCCGGATTTAAATTATTTAAATTATTTAAATTATTTAAATTATTTTTAAATCCCGGGCCCGATTTAAATAATTTAAATATGAAGGCCACGATTTAAATATGAATATTTAATTCGGGAGCTTCATATTTAAATTATTTAAATCGGGCCCGGGAATTAAATAATTTAAAAAATTTAAATAATTTAAATAATTTAAATAATTTAAATAATTTAAATAATTGAAATAAATTAAATAATTTAAATCCTGGAGGGGGGGGGGCCGGGCCTCCTCCCGCAGGAGGAATTAAATAATTTAAATATGAAGGCCCCGAATTAAATATTCATATTTAATTCGGAGCCTTCATATTTAAATTATTTAATTCTTCCTGCGGGAGGAGGCCCGCCCCCCCCCCCTCCAGGATTTAAATTATTTAAATATTTAATTCCCGGGCCCGAATTAAATAATTTAAATATGAAGCTCCCGAATTAAATATTCATATTTAAATCGTGGCCTTCGTATTTAAATTATTTAAATCGGGCCCGGGAATTAAATAATTTAAATAATTTAAATAGTTTAAATAATTTAAATAATTTAAATCTGGGAGGGGGGGGGGCCGGGCCTCCTCCCGCAGGAGGAATTAAATAATTTAAATATGAAGGCCCCGAATTAAATATTAATAATTAATTCGGGGCCTTCATATTTAAATTATTTAATTCCTCCTGCGGGAGGAGGCCCGGCCCCCCCCCCCTCCAGGATTTAAAATATTTAAATTATTTAAATTATTTAAATTATTTAATTTATTTAAATTATTTAATTCCCGGGCCCGATTAAATAATTTAAATATGAAGGCCACGATTTAAATATGAATATTTAATTCGGGAGCTTCATATTTAAATTATTTAAATCGGGCCCGGGAATTAAATAATTTAAATAATTTAAATAATTTAAATAATTTAAATATTTTAAATCTTGGAGGGGGGGGGGCCGGGCCTCCTCCCGCAGGAGGAATTAAATAATTTAAATATGAAGGCCCCGAATTAAATATTAATATTTAATTCGGGGCCTTCATATTTAAATTATTTAATTCTTCCTGCGGGAGGAGGCCCGCCCCCCCCCCCCTCCAGGATTTAAATTATTTAAATTATTTAATTCCCGGGCCCGAATTAAATAATTTAAATATGAAGCTCCACGAATTAAAATATTCATGATTTAAATCGTGGCCTTCATATTTAAAGTATTTAAATCGGGCCCGGGAATTTAAATAATTTAAATAATTTAAATCCTGGAGGGGGGGGGGCGGGCCTCCTCCCGCAGGAAGAATTAAATAATTTAAATATGAAGGCCCCGAATTAAATATTAATATTTAATTCGGGGCCTTCATATTTAAATTATTTAATTCCTCCTGCGGGAGGAGGCCCGCCCCCCCCCCTCCAGGATTTAAATTATTTAAATTATTTAAATTACTTAAATTATTTAAATTATTTAATTCCCGGGCCCGAATTAAATAATTTAAATATGAAGCTCCCGAATTAAATATTCATATTTAAATCGGGGCCTTCATATTTAATTCAGGCCTGGGACCCCCCCTAGGACCTAAAATAGGGTCTATTTGGAAGTTGGCTCTTGTAAATAAGTATACGTTTTGGGGCCTTTTTTCCTCTTGTGAACACGAGTGCCAGCTTCCAAATAAACCCTATTTAAGCTGCACACGGGGGGGGGGGGGGTGTCCAATCCCAAACACAATAAGACCTGAACCCGAAAAGCCTTGATCAACAACCGTTCCGAGTGCGATGTCGGGGTGTCCAATCCGAAACACGCTAAACCCTGAACCCGAAAAGTCTTGAAAACAACTGACGCACTAAACCCTAAACAACTCTAACAGTACACTAGCCCTGAACCTGAAAACTAAAACTTCAGCTATCCAAATTACAGACATCCCTGAACCCTGTTCGGCAGCAACATCCTAACCCATGACAAGGTAGTGAGCCCCAACCCCTTGAACCCGAAACCACAGTCTTGATGGCCAGGAAATATCAGCAATTCAGCGCTTGTCCAGTTTTTTCTAGCTTTTTCTAGTTTTCTCTAGCCGACCAGCAAACGGTGCTCGGGGCTAGATTTTCCTAGATTTTTACCTTGGCTCCGAAAATGATGGCCACGAAGCGACCTCGAAAATGTATCAATGAGAGCAATGGTCCGGAACCTCAGCCCCGTTCGCCCCGGTGGCCCAGCCTGAGACCATCCCAGCAAGATCGGCTAAGCCTGAGCTCATCGCGAAGAGAAGGCATCCCAAGGCATCGCTGTGCTGGCGACGTGATGATGCGCTGAGGTCACGACTGCCTGGCGCCACGCAGCTGCCACTCCTGCAACGAACACAAAGGTCCTTTCACACTGCCTTCCATCTTTGTACCTTCATTACCTTCCCACCTGTTGCAGATGGCTTGGGATAAGAGCCAGTTCCAGCAGATCAAGCCACAGACCAAAGTGCGTCAACGGCCGGAAGGTTTTCGCGACGCCATGCGGGCTGCGCAAGCGTGCGCCGGCCACTCGGCCTTCGAGCATGGGACGGCGCCAATAAAATACCGACTTGACGAGCAGTGTTGACAAAGTCGTGGATGCTTCTAGTCAACCAACTGTCAACTTGCTGATCATTGCGGCTCCTCGTCTGTAGCCAAATGGCGAGCACGGTTCCAGGCTCTTTGCTGAAGAGGAGCACACATCTCTCTACCCAGGCAAGGTGCCACAAGACCCTTTATGAAGAGCTTTGAAGCGAGGACCCCGCCGTCTTGGCCAAGTCGTTTCAAGGCTGCGCTGGTCGCAGGCTAGCACACTTCTACGTTCTAGGAGACTGACTCTAGAGGAAAATCGTCCTTGCTTTTCGAAATCTTGAAAGTGTCCAATGGCATGTTGGCAATCGGTGAGTACCTGCACTGGAGCTGGGGGGCATTCACACCGGAAGCAACTCTTCTCTGCAAACCCCCAGAACCTACTCGCGACAGTACTGCTAGCCTGCTCGGATGCGACCCCCGATACACGCTGTGGTGCGGCGACTCTAACACACGTGCTGAACTGCTTCCGATTACTACTTGACACGTTGCCGAATTTGATGCTTCGAAGGCAGTCCAGAACACCACGCCCGACTACGCTAAGCACCAAGAGACCAAGAACCAAGAACCACATCCGATGCAAAAAACCATAACTTGTTTGCTGTCGCGTTGCTTGTCTTGCTCTGCGTTCTTGAACCACTTGATGGTCTGCATGTGATAGCCTTGTATGCTGGACATGGCATGCCTAGTCATGCCGACGATATACAATGTAGCGCAGAGCTTTGCGGAACGGAGTGGCTTCTGGCCATAGCCGACAGCTTGCGCAACTGATCTTGAAGCTGACCCAACCTGCTTGAAGGTGGTCTGCCATGACAAGCACTCCTTAGCGGGGGACTGCAGAAGCCTTCCGTTGTACTTGGCAAAGTTCTTGTCCACCATCTTGGCTTTGTTCTCTGCGTCCTTCGTGGCCTGGACTTCCCCATGGGCACGAGTAGTTTCACAAGGCTTCAAGAACTGCATGACCGCTTATGACCGCTTGACCGCATGGCTCCCTGGCACCGGGAGCCCGGCAGTGCTGAATTCCGCCACGGCGCCCTCGATCTGCACTCCATCCTTTGCCGTACCCTCAAATGCATCCTTGTCTCCTTGGCACGCAAAGGTGGCCTATCAGGCCTGGCATGCATTCGGAGATCTCGACTCAATGGTCAAAGGATGTCAAAGGTCACCAGAGCTTCATAGTGCATCAGAAAGGCGATCCGGCTCGCCGTCCTCATCATCCTCACGACCCACACCGAACACAAGATGGTCTAAGCAGAACCTACAGCAAGTGCTGCAGCGAGTTCCAGGATCTCTCCCTCTGGGAGACCTCATCGAGGCCGGCAGCATCCTGGTCTTCCTCGGGTTTCGGCTGGCTCCTGGCCTGGGAAGACATGAGCCCATAGGCTCCCCCCTAACTCTCGGAACCTGCGTTGGCAGGCTTTACAGAATCCCTAAAGTCTCCAGACCGACGAAAGCCAGCAGCGAACAAGAGAGTGACGAGAACAGCACAGCACATGTCTTACGAACTGCTCGGCCTTCAGACCCGACTCCAGTGCCTCAACGTTTAAGAACGTTGGGGAACGGAATGGAGTGCTTTGATGCTCAGGAGCAATTTTTGCACGACATGCCCTGCCTCGTCGTCATCTACCATGTCGCGCACACACCACACACGACTCCTCGGCTGCTTTGCAATAACAGAAGAGGTCGGGAACCAAAACCTTAGTACGGCAAAGACCTCCCAGTTCCACGTCTTAGCTTGGCACAGCAAAGCCATCAGCAAAATGAAAACGTACAGTCGCATAGCTCATGGAGGGTTCTGCAAGGGACCTAGCAACAAGTGACCCGCCCATGCGAGAGATCTTTCCTTGCAAGCACGGCTGGGCCTGCTCGATCCTTCGCCGATCCTGGACGCTGTGGACTAGGACTAGGAAAGCGCAGGGATGTGGCCTGACAGTTGAAATTGAGCCTGCGTAGCGGCGTAGTGGCGCAGCGCCCCAACAGAAGATCGGTGGCTGTGTTGCGAGAACCGAGCAGTCACTACAGCGTGTGCTCAACAAGCGCTCTTTGGACTTCCGCGGCCACTTCGTGGCATCGAAACCCTGCTGCTGCTTTTCAGCAATCCCACAGAGCACCAATTCCATCTTGGCATCAGAGTCCGTGGCTCGAGGGCAGTTGGAATTGGAAGTGGCTTTGCCAGCTCCTCTTTAGCCGAAGAGCGATTTCAGGCTTTTGCGCGCCTGGCCAGCAGGGTCGAGCGCTATCTGCTTATCGCAAGGGCTGAGATGGGCTTGGGGTCTAACTGGCACCCGCACCCCATCTTGTCAGCACAGCCCATATGAAAATCCACTGCACATGCTCGGTTGGTGAGGCCTCAGGAACTGCCAGACGCTAGAGTCTAGAATGAAGTATTTTACCCCATCTGGAACCTCAGCACCGTGGCCTCCGTAGCCGCTGTAGCCTGCATGACTTTGGTAAACTGCGACCGCGGGTTGTCGTCCGCCACAGCTACGGCCCTGCAGGTCACCGGGTGCAGCACAGGCATCCTGGTCCTGCAATATGCGGCTGCCCTCTACACAGCGCCTCATCACGGTGCCTTGATTCATCGCACTGAATGCGCCAAAGCCTTTCAGCCCGCTCATCCTGCGAGGCGAACCATGGCTGAGATTGGAGGGCACCTGGGCAGCCTGGGCATACCTTGCTAAGTCGATTTTGAACGCTTTCGCAGCAAACTTACTGGTCTTCACAGCTTCACTCAGCAGCTGGTTGTGGTGGAGGGCCCGCGGAGGGCTGCAGCCTTGAAGCAACACAGGGCGCAGCGCTTCGATCTCAACTCAGCAGATTGGAGGCGACAAGCAGCCGAAGGATGGGTCCTCAAGATGGACCTTGCGATGTAGAGTGAGTGGAATTCGCATCGTCCGACTTCTGCGCGCTGTCCTTCCGCACGTCCCTGGACCTGTCCTCGGTGCCCCACATCGCTCATCTTTCTGCCCAGGCACAAAAAAAAGATGTTCTGCGGAGTGGCCAGCTTGACGGCCATGAGCGGTGAATACCTTGCATGTAAATACCAGGAGAAAGCCCTCAGCCATATGCAGCACTCATAGTCAGCACCTGAACCGGCCAGGGCACTTGTCGCCTTCTGCATCAGCGAAAAACTGCATGACTTCCTGCATGGAAGTCATCCTACCACAAGGCCACTGGTTCAGGGGGCGAGGCCTGCCGCCAGCGGAAGGTCTTCTGCGCCAGCCTTCACGGCTGTGATCTGAAGGGCACATCCATTTATTCCATGTTGACCTTGCCTACAACCCACAGCCTCTTCAAGACCTCATCCATTTTTTTCATCTTGTCATCCTCGGTTGAAAAGGATTGGGGCCACTACTTTCCGACCACACGCAGATGTCTTGTGGAAGCGAGAGATGCCTGCTGGGAGCAGGAGTTCATCACGTCTCGCTGGCCAGTCCGAGCGGCATACTTGGCAAAGTCTTTATCCACAGACTTGGACTTCTCTTGTGCGTCATGCGTAGCGGATTCAAGCTTGGCGACCTCAGTCTCCGGTGGCTTAAGCATAAAAGACACAAAAATGACGGTGCCGTATCCCTACTGTCCACATGCCATTGAGCAAGGAGTCGTCTTCCTTCACCTTCTCGGAATCCTCGCCGGCCTTCTTGAAAGCATCTTGGGATGATTGGGATGCCTCCTGGTCTTTCGAGGTGGTGTTGTCGGCTGGCGGTTCCGTCTTCTTGGTGTCCGGATCAGCGGCGAAAGCCTGAGCCAACATAGCTTTCGACCAAAAGTTTGCGCATCTGAATGTCGCTGCCCTCAAATGCTAGCTGCTAGTCACTCCAGAGGAGATGATCCTTCGCTTGTCGTTTGGGCTTACCTTTGCAAAATTGGACATCGGAGCCTTAGATTCCTGCTTCCTTCGTCGAGCCGCAGAATAGAAAAGTCGCCCCCGCAAGGCCTCGCGAGCTTCTGCGGCTTCGATGTGCCTTGTGAGAGAGAGAAAGAGAGAGAAAGAGAAAGAGAGAGAAAGAGAGAGAG